ACTTAGGGTAAGGACACTTAAAGCTATGCAAGAGCTAGTTATTATTCAAAGCATCACTCAAGGACTTTTATGTAGGCCAGGTGTTAAAAGTGCAATGCTCCCCACACTGCTCATGCCACAATACATTTCATGAGAAATGACTGATTAAAATACACTATGTAACTTTCGTGGTTATGCACCTGTTTGTCTCCATGGTGATGTTATTGGTTTGCTTGGAATTGTATGTAGTACAATTTAACATGTAGTTAAATGTCACATTTCAAGCAAAGCACCAACATCTGTATGGAAACAAATGGTCCCATAGTATGTACCTATTAAGTGCAAGAATTTGATAATGCCAGCTTTATTTTTAAGGTCTATGATCTAACTGGACAAATAGGTAGACTGTTGCTCCAAGTACAGTTTGGTATTCACATTTTAACAACATATTGAAACTTTACAGTGGCATCATGCTGGGGGTGTCCTACATGTACTAGTTACTATGCTGACACAATGCACAAATTAGCAAAAACTGCCAAAAAAGTTTATATATAGTTTGGAAACTCAAGAAAAAATATATAACATGTATTGATCACAGGCTCCTGAAAATGTGTTGTTTAAATTCAAGTGTTCATTGTTCTGTTTAGGAGTTTAATTTTTAACAAAAAAGATGAGAGTGACTGACTGAAAAACTGCTAGCTACCTTGACACAATAATTTTACACGTGAGAGACTTGTTTGAGCACACAAATCACCTCATCTGTTATAATTCCACCCAAGTCAGCTGTTTCTGGGTCAGATTGTGTTAAAATAAAACTCGAGTAAAAAACCTTGGGTAACAGTGCTTCTAGCAGAGCAGTGCTTTCAGTTAGCTTCACACCCCCAGAGAATGTTGATGATAACATAAGCTGCAAGACATGAAATTAAATATATGTAGTATTTGTCAACAAAACAAATAGCACACCTAATATTATTTTAAATACAGTAAATAAGTAATAAGTAATGTGCTTTCTACTTGTGGGAGCTCCTTAGCAGCTGGTAAGGCTCTGATGCATCTGCACAACCTGCTTATCCCCATAAATGCTACCGACCAACTCAAGTACAACATTGCATGCTGCTAATTAACTCCAGTTGGTGAAGGTGGAAGTTTTACAGGTTGTATTGAAAAGGCTTCAAGGAGAGGGGAAGCCAATGGGGGCAACCGCGTGAAGAAGAATGCCTGTCTCTCCTTGGTCCTAAAAGGATTTCATGGTTGTGTAGCAGAGGTGCGGGGGAGCGGGAGGAGAAGGGATGCAAGACAAAAGCACAGCTGCTCTTTGACTGTCTGAGAGGAGAAAGGCCAGCTGTCTGCGTCCGCGTCCCATGAACTCAGCAAAAAATGAAAAAAAATTTAAAAAGCTTTATTTTCAAACTGCTGAAGTGGTGACAAAGTTAAAACGAGGTATGCAGGTGTGAAATTAAATACTAGACAGACCAGGTGTTTTAAGGCTGCATTGCCTGAAAGTTACGCCACATACTCTCTTACAAAAGCATGGAGACCTACCAGATTTGGACCTATTTTTATTGTATTCAAAATATATTGCTAAATGCCATTACCAAACGTTGACATATAATAATAACAAACCTACCTTTATTACATTTAATGAGGTCTGTGTTTTTTCATGCTGTCCTGAAACAACCTCACTGTAGCCGCATGTTTGCACAATAGTTAATTTTTAATGTGACAACCGAGGGGAAAGCAGTTATTTACCTATTTTATTAAGAAGTTATTGACCAACACTCTCTGCTTAAGATTCCTGTTTATGTTTAATAATATTAATAATGCATTTTCTTTATAATGTACTTCACATTTTCAAACAAATCTCAAAGTGCTACACAACCAGTAAACATTAAAACAACAAAGACAAA